AAATGATTAATTACCGACTACCATCGTACACCGCGGGACCCCTACTAGCCGGCTAGTATCACTACCGTTACCCACTATACTACCTGATACTTTCACTAGTAGCGCTATGGTGGTATATAAACACTACCCTAGAGCTGCTTGTATTAGTTACTGATACTACCGCCATTGCTGCTAGAATAGCTGCCTTAAAATAAGCTCATTGCTAAAACGGATATTCCGTGTTCCGTACTCTGCCGTGGCATTCGGCCCTATGCTATTTGCCATTTACAGGGTTGGCTACTGTCCGATGGCCGTTCTCATTGGCGTAGCAACAGGGTAGCATCTTAGGGTGGAAACCAAGAGGGTACAGAAAAGATTAGGATGTGATAGATATAGGCTGGGCATTCTCTCGAAGAGATCAGTGATTTCTTATTGGACGATTCATAAGTGATTATAGGTCTAGCTACCTTTTTTCCTATTTTCATTCGTTTGCGTTGGCAACTTTGATGGTCAGCCATTTTCTGGACAGTCGACGATTTTTTATAGTCTCCATTGTCCGGATCAATCTTATTCTTTATTGGTCACTGAAATTTATCGGTCCAACAAGAATTACCTCGGGTTCGCCATGATAATATAACGGTAGTAAATGTTCCCTCTACCAGATAGCCTGGGAATTAGGGAAATCGTGACTACTGAGAAATGATCGCTGCTTGCCAAACGATTTATAACGAAATCGTCGTCACTCTAATAACCACCCTAAGTTACAGTACGATACGGTACAGTCCCTCGTGGTAAACTCTCGGAAAAGTGCATGCAAATCCGTATCCTCTTATTTTAAGAATCAAAACAGATTAGTGCCTTTCATTCGAACAGTGCGTACCATACTTTGTTATAGTAGTACAAGTACTAAAAAAAACCACTCCTATGCAAATCCCACTAAGGTCCTTCAGAGAGCAGCACTTGAGATTTCGACAAACACCGGGGAATCCCCTAGAAAAACATAGAATTCCCACGGGGAGTCTGTTCATCTCTGAAAGAACTGCTTGGCCTTTCTATGATTTTTAACAATTTTTTTTTTCAATCTTATTTGTTCTTATCTCGAAAATAGGTATAGCTCAGACACTCGGACTATTTTGCGAAATAATACTCGATTCTGTTTCGTACCAGCCGACCGGATTCTCAGGAAGGACTTGTTAAGGACATCGGCGAGCATCGACGCGGAACCGGCGTCCCGACGATTCTCCTCGCGTTACGTACGTAGTGTATATATGAGTATGTATCCGTATACGTGTGATACGGTATGTCGAAATTTGCATTGCAAATCGTCCACCCCGCCTACCTCTGGACGATCGAAGGGGGTACGTATACGGAGTAGGCTATATACATATATATATATATATACATGTAGTTATATGCATTCCTAGGAGGGCAGGAGGAGTC